GGTGGGCGGGCCCACACTATCTCTGGAGCCAAGCCTGTTTGGGCCTCCCACGCCTAGCCATCTGTGTGCAGAGGAGGGGCTGGGCAGATCTGGGGCGCCTGCATCAGCCTCCCCGTGTGTCTGGAGGACTGTGGATATCTCAGCCAACAGGGAGGGATCCCAGGTTCTGGAGGCACTGTGGCCTGTGGTGAGTGCTCAGCGGACTCTGCCCAAATCCCAGACTGTTCTGGACCCTCCAGGCTTCCAGGTGCAGTGAAGTGGAGAAGTGGGTTTGAGGTCTCTACATCCGCCTCCCCATCCCAGCTGCACTTGGAGAACTGATGAGCTTCCAATGGGTGGGCGGGCCAATGCTATCCCCGGAGCCCAGCCTCTTTTGGCCTCCTGCACCTAGCCATCCGTGTGCAGAGGAGGGGCGGGGCGGATCTGGGGCGCCTGCATCGGCCTCCCCGTGTGTCTGGAGGACTGTGGATGTCTCGGCAGTTGGTGGAGCATCGTGGGTTCTGGAGGCCCTGTAGCCTGTGGTGAGTGCTCAGTGCATTCTGCCCAGAGTCCAGACTGTTTGGGTCCCTCCAGGCTTCCAGATGCAGTGAAGTGGAGAGATAGGTTTGAGGCGTCTACATCTGCCTCCACATCCCGGCTGCGATTGGAGAGCTGTGGAGCTTCCAACGGGCAGGTGGGCACACAGTGTCCCTGAGGCCCAGCTTGTCTGGAACTGCGGAGTTCTGAGCAGGCAGAGCAGGGCCATTGGTTCTGCAGGCCCAGTGCCTTGGGGTAGCGTGCTGCCAGAGTCTCAGTAGCTGCAAACATAGAAGGGGATTTCCCACAGATCCTGAGGAAGCTCTCAAATAACACTTGAAACACAGAAATATAGAAAAATGACAAAACAAAAGACCAAATTACACCTCAAACCTCCAGCCCATCTCAAGAAACCCTAGGAGCAATGTATATAGAAGAAAATATATGGCATTCACCCCAAATATCGGACACAATAGCTATTGAAATTAACAAGCAACTCCAGGAAGCTTTAAAGAAATTCAAACTCGAAATAATCTCCCAGGTAAAAGAAGAAATGATAAAAGAAATGAAAGAGATTCTGAATATATCTAAAGGAAACACAGATAAAAAATTGGAGGACCTAAACAAAAAGATAGAATCCGTAGATGAGCAATATAAGAAACAAACAGAATACATAATGCAGTTGCACAGAGATATACAGGAAATAAAAAACTCCACTGAAAGTTGTAAAAACCAACTTAATGAAAGTGAAGATAGAATTTCAGACCTTGAAGAGAGGATTGCAGCTAGTGAACAGGAAAGGAAAGATCTTTTAAAAATAACAAGGAATCAGGAAACAACAATACAACAACTGTAAGACGATGCAAAGAAGAATAACATAAGAATGATAGGGATTAATGAAAAAGAAGGAGACAACATAAAGCATGTCAAGAGAATATTTAGAGAAGTAATAGCTGAAAATTTCCCAAGCATGAGATCAGAAACTGACATCAGGATCAGTGAAGCATATAGAACTCCAAATAGTCATAACCAAAATAAAACTACACCCAGACATATAAAAATCACCATTCCAGAAATCCAACACAAGAATAGATTATTAAAAGCTGTCAGAGAGAAAAGACAGATCACTTATAAAGGAAAACCTATCAGAATCACAGCAGACTTCTCAGCACAAACAATAAAGTCCAGAAGAGCATGGAGTGAAGTATTCCAGATGCTAAAGCAAAATGATTTCCAACCTAGACTGATGTACTCTGCAAAACTATCATTCAAAATTGATGGTGAAATACGATACTTCATGACAAAGAACAGCTGAAGAACTTCATGAACACCAAACCGACCCTGCAAAAAATATTGAAAGGCAGTTTAGATACACGAAGGAAAAAACCACTAAGCAAAGCAGATAATTAAACAGAACAGAAAGATAAAAATGCAACAGCAGAGAGATAACATGTCAACAATAAACCAGCATTTAATAGTAATAACCATTAATGTAAATGGTCTCAAAGCACTAATCAAAAGAAACAGACTAACAGAATGGATCAAGAAACAAAATCCAACCATATGCTGTTTACAGGAAACTCATCTAACCCAGAAGGATACTCACAGACTGAAAGTCAAAGGATGGAAAACAATACTTCATGCAGCAGGAATCCAAAAAAAGGCAAGAGTAGCCATTTTGTTTGCAGACAACGTGAACTTTAAACCAACAATGACCATAAAGGACATAGAAGGTCACTACATACTTGTAAGGGGAAGTAATCAGTGGGTCACAGAAGAAATTAAAGAAGAAATTAAACAGTACCTAAAAGAAAATGAAAATGCAGATACAACTTACCGGAATTTGTGGGATGCAAGGAAAGCCGTCCTCGGAGGAAAATTTATTGCACTGTGTTCCCACATCAGGAAAACAGAACAAATTCAAATAAATAACTTGATGTTACACCTCAAACAGCTAGAAAAAGAAGAGTAAGTCAAGCCCAAAGCCAAAAGAAGAGAGGAAATTATAAAAATCAGAGCAGAAATCAATGCAATAGAGACTAAGAAAACAATCCAAAGAATCAACAAATAAAAGAGTTGGTTCTTTGAAAGAATAAATAAAATCGATAAGCCCCTAGCCACCTTATTAAAAAAAGGAAAGAAAAAGCTCAAATTCATGCAATAAGAAATGAAAAAGGTGAAATCACTACAGACCCAATAGAAATACAGAAGATCATCAACACCTATTTTGAAAACCTCTACTCGCAGAAGTTTGATAACACAGAAGAAATAGATTCTTAGAAACATATGAAGTACCAAAGTTAGATCAAGAGGATGTAAAACTGTTGAATAACCCAATCTCTGTTAATGAAATTGAAAATGTAATTAAGTTCTTACCCACCAAGAAGAGCCCAGGCCCAGATGGATTCCCTGCAGAATTCTACAAGAAATACAAAGAAGACCTAATGCCGACAACCCTCAAACTATTAAATGAAATTGAAAGGGAAGCAATCCTTCCTAAGTCATTCCTGGAAGCAAATATTACTCTAGTAAAAAAACCTGAGAAAGACCCAACTAAAAAAAGAGAACTATAGACTGATATCCCTAATGAACATAGATGCAAAAATCCTCAATAAAATATTGGCAAATAGGATGCAGCAAATCATCAAGAAGATTATACACCATGATCAAGTGGGATTCATCCAAGGAATGCAAGGATGGCTTAACATACGTAAATCAATAAATGTAATCCACCATATCAATAAAGCCAAAATTAAGAATCACATGATCATTTCTATAGATGACCTCCTGCTTACGAGGTAGATGCTTATGCTGCTGAGCTAAATCCCCAGCCCACATAGTAAATTCTTGTCTCAAAAAACCTGAAAAAACCATGAGCAAGCAAGCAAGCAAACAAACAAAACCCAAATAAACAAGTGAGCAAAGAAAACACACAAACACAAAAGGGAAAACACCGCACCATGCCAAGGATGTTGGCATAATGTCTATAATCCCAGGATTTGGGAGGATGAGCAAGAGATTCATCACGCACTAAGGGTCAACTTAGTGAGTTGAAGGCAAGCCTGAAGTAAGTAGCCGGACTGTGTCTCAAAGACGGGGCAAAACAAAACAGGAAACCTCAGAAAAGACATATCCTCATAGAAAAAGAGGCACCATGAGACTGGAACTCATCCTCAAGGCTAAGGTCAAAGGCATCAGGCCCCAAATATATATGAGTTGGGGGCTGAGTATATGGGGTGCTACATCCATCATGGGCCTCCTGAAGATGACCCAGGAAAACCTAAGACCTGGAAAGTTGGGAAAAAGCTGTGGGAGAAGGTTTGAATGTTTTCACAGCAAATTTAGAAATAAAAATGGGCAGTTGAATGAAAGAACATGGCAAGTATCCCAGAGGGGCAGTATGATTTTCTGCATGGAGGAAATTCTGGCTTTATTTGTCCCAAGAAGGGCAAGAGTGTTTTACACAGGATTAGCACAGTTTTAGTCCATAAAAAATAAAACAATGTTTTCATAATTTCATAACAGGATTAAATAGAGTGATGACAGTGATACACTGTGCATTGCTACCCCCAAACTGTGAGCAGCAGTTTGAGTCACATTCATCTGAGTTCTGTCACTTCCTTGGTGTAACTAGCTTAGTCCCTAGTCCCTGAAGCCTCCTTTTATGCTGCCAACTGGAAAATTGTAGCCCTGCCCAGACTAGCACAGGAGACAAGCAGAAAAGAGAAAGCACGCAGGTTCTGACCACGTGGACTGGGATTGTACCTTGTGGGCCTCAGTCAGATCTGTGTCTTCAGCAAAGCCCTGTTACTATTTTCCATTTCCTAGATTCTCTCATCTTGTTTTCCCGTCTCATCTTTTTGAGACAGGGTTTCACTCTGCAGTTCAGGCTGGCCTTGAACTCATTTTGTAGATCACACTGGCCTCAAACTTGCAATCATGACTCAGGCTCCCAAATGCTGAATCCCAGGTGTTTCAACCATGCCTGGCCTGGCCTCTCAGTTTACACATGATTCGCAAGGAAAGCTCAACAGTCCTGTCCCTTGTGTATCTGATCCTAACAGCTGGCCAGTTAACATCATACGTTTTCTAGATTGGCATATTTCTTATTTTATGTTTGCAGTTTTACTCCAACTTGCTACAGATATAATCAGAACACAACAATCCACAGACACTCTAGTGTCACCATAACTTTTATTTCACAAATAACTGGCAGACCACATGTCTCCCCGCTATGACCAAAATGCCAAGGATTTTGGGGATCTGCAGGGAAAGCTCTGCACCCTCCTCTCCTGAGTAGCTGTTGCAGATGTCCTCTGAGGAAACAGGCACAGTCCACCTAGAGCTCCTGTAGGCAGTCTGCTCTCCAGAGGTGAAGAATGAGTTCATCAACATACTCTGCAGTGTATATTAGGTCCTGTAATACCCATTAGTGAATGAGCAAGTTTTTGAAGATTTCTCATCTGGCCCAGGTAATGAGCCAATCATGCCAGGTCTCTAACACCCAAGAAGTGACACACTTCTACTTGCTGAACACAGTTCAGCTCAAACATCTTGAAGGCTTCCAGGAAGGTATCAAAAGGCATCTCATAAACCTCCATCTTCTTATAGACAGGTGGACCAAATGTCTCTCTGCCGGACCCACTCAAAAGACAGGTTTGGAGTCCACTGAGTGCTCTTCTCTTGCTGAAAAGCTCTGTCATCACCTTCACCATATGGTCATCCACTTTCTGGTCCCTATGTTCATTATCTGGTGTCCAGGTACGAGCCATGGCTCTGAGCCCCACAATCCAGAAGTCCTGGTGCATGTCCCTCAGATCCAGCACCTGCAGTTTCCACCTGCTGTGGATGAAAAGGGAGGCAGACCCTGAACTGAGGAAAGACTCAACTTCCAACCTGGGCTTCTCTTCTGCTTTCTGTGTATCGGCAACTCCTTTAGTTTTCTTGCCTTCCTTTTTGTACCCTTGACATATAGCAAATGCCCTGGTTCCACTTCTAGTCCCTGTGGCAGGAGGCACGTTCAGGCTCCTCCCATCATCTGCATGGCCAGCACACACAGCTTTGCAGTCAGGAGGCCCCTTCCCAGATGGTGCTCAGGCATGGCCATGGTCTCTGTGAGCCTCTTGTCATAGCATCAGCAGCTGCTGCCCACACCTCTACCCTCCCATTCTCCATGATCCCCACTGTTCTTCCCCCTGCTCCCCGTGCCCTCCCTCCAGAATACCTGGCCCATGCTCCCCTGGGACAGCTCTTTGTGGCAGGAAGTGTATCTAGCCCATCCAGCACAACTCTCCATGTCTGTAAGTTTATCTTCTCCAGCTGGAGCTTTACTAACTCAGGTTGTGAGCTCACTTATTTCCTCATTTCCAGCAAGAACCCCAAAGGGAGGCAGGGGAACACCCAGGCATACACCATCACATTCAGGACCTCATTTGGGCCCGCATGAATGTGTCCATGAATATGTCATGGGAGATCAGGGCCTGAAAGCAGTGCAGGCTGTGGTCTCACTGTTGAGCATGTCCGGCTTGACATTTCATATAGAAGCAGTGCACTCATCATGATGGATCTGCAAGAACAAGCACCCTAGGGACATCCAGGAAGACGCTGTTGAGGCTGAGCTCAGGAGACTCTTTGTGATCCAGTAGGCTAACTCTGGGCCAAAGTCTCTGTCATCTCTGGTGGAGGCCTTCTCTATTTGCACCAATATCCCTGTGATTGATAGTCTCAAAGCCACAGGTCTGCCACTGTTAGCTCCAGGATACTCCTCTCCCGTCCACTTCTAACCATTAATCCTCTTTACTCCAATCCCTATTGCAGGTGGATATGAAATAACAGCTTTGTGCAGCATGGGAAAAATATTTTTGATCATTCCTTCAAGGCCCCCGAATAATATCAGTGGAAATATAATATGGCCACAACATCTTACCTTCTCTCATTCTAGGGAGACTTTCCTAAGTGGCAGTATTTTTATGTTACAAAATTGAAGAAACAAGTGTCAAAGGCATGTAACATTATAGAGTATTCATGGCCTTCTGTAACAGGCACGTACATGAGTTCACCTCCTGAAATATCCAAAGGAACTCTATTCTAGAGACTTAGTGTCTGAAGTGCACTTCATTTTGACAGTCTTTTGGATTAACAAGAGAAAAAGAGGCACGGAATAGTGAATGGAAAATATCTGAGAATAATAGCCCATGTCTTTCATCATGGCACTCTGGATGATTAGTACAGAATATTGCAAGTATTAGCCCAATGCAGACAAGTTAGAAGGAATTTGTCTGGATACAAAAATGTTTTCTAGGTGTCCTTCAGTGAGACCCTAAGATGGCTCCCATGTAACATGGGTGTATTGGGGAGAGAGAAAAGCAAAGAATCCTGGAGGTAGTATGGCACTAGAGAAAACTATTTAAGAATGGGAGGGAAAGAGCACTATGGAATATCTCCATTAGCTCCTATGAGTTCTGGAGGCCAGACCTCATTGATCAGAAAGCTCAGGGCTTTTTCTCAGTTACTGAGATTCATGAGCTCTAAGTTGGAAACAAGGTAACATGATCATGGAGGAAACCAGATAGTTCACAGGCAGCTCTCTTTATTTCTGATCATTCCATTATATTAACCCATACATTCATCTCAAGCCTTAATTTACATCTAGAAAGTCAAGTTTCCATTTCTGATCTTCCCTAACATCCAGGTCCGCACAGGTCACTTCCCTTCTCAAATCAAAAACCAAAGGATTCTGCAAGGTAGCTGCTGATTGTTATGCTATTTGTCCTTTCTCAGTCATAATGAACCCAAAGCTCTGTGCTCCTGGTGGCCAGAAGGAAGAATAGGGTGTGAGGGTCGCACTAGATAGCTACACAAGACGAGCATGGAGCAGTGTGCAGTTTACAGATGTCCCAGTTTGAAGAGATGCCACCGTGAGCAGCACAAAACCAGACCACCCTGGGATGGTTAAATGACTTCACGGCCCTCTTTAGCACCTCCCACATATGGTTCAGTCTTAGTGGGTGGACATAATCCCAGGGATTGTAAACTTCAGGAGGTGAGTACATCTCCAGTGTTAAGTTGCTCAGCCGGGCAGTGTGGCACAGCAGCCTCTCCAGGGTGGCTAGAGACATGGAGTTCCTCACGTAGCTGAAGGTAGTTAGCTGGGAGCAGTGACTTAAGGCAGGCAAAAAGTCCAAGAACTCAACTTCCATGATTTCACAGACCTGTAAGTGTAGGGTGGTCAGAGTGGCTGAAATGTTTTCCAGGAGAAATCTGAGGGAATCAAGCTTATGAGTCAGGTCCAAACCATACAGAGCCAAGTGTTTCAGGTGTCTGATGCTTGGACAGTGTGGCAGCTGGTTCCAGTCGGAGTCTGAAAGTCGGCAGTAACTTAACCGGAGCGTCTCCAAGGGGGTTATCAGACACCTACAAAGAGACCAAGCAGTTAGATCCGGCTGTTGGAGAGGAAAAGGAGTGGTTCATAGGGAACAACTCCAAGGTAACCCCAGTGTCAGTAGAGTCATCCCAATTTAAACTGAGGTCATTTCCCATTACTAGTCCCTGAAGTCGCCTTTGCTTTCTCCTAAGCAGAAAACAACAGCTCTTTCCTGTTGGGGAGAGAAGGAGACAGGCAGGAAGGAAAAATCGTTGAAGGACTAACCACATCCATTGCGGTGGCTAAAAAGGCTGTCAGCAGAGGCTGTGACCTTGTTCCAGTCCTGCACTGCTCTTTGCTTTCAGTTTGAGACTCCTGCCCTTCACCTCTGGTCATCATCCCACCTCTCAGGAGAGGATTCTGATCCTGACTGCCAGGAGGATAGAGAAACTGGGCATTGCTCAGCCTCACTGACTGCAGATGGAGGGGATGGGGAGGCAGCAATGGAGGGAGCAGCAAGGCCCTGTCTCCTCCCACAGACACTAGGAGTAGGGACTGGACTGGATGCAAGGCAGGAAGAGGAAATGGGAAGAAGACTAGCATGACACAGAAGAGTGGAGGAGAGTGGAACGAATGTCTGGGATGAGGAAGGCATAGAGGAAAGAAAAGTGACATCCAGATGAGGTTGTGAAGCCTCTGATGGAGTCAAACAGCAGCCTTTCCCAGTGGAGAACAGGATGGTGGGCTCACTGTCTCTCACACATCTCCTGAGCAAGTGGTTCACACACTGTGAAGTGTGAATTCTTGTCTTTCCTTGGTGCCATATGCCTTGTCTGCTTCTCAGCACCTTACACTAGATATGCTTTCTGTGGGAGAAAGCACACTCCTGCCCGCACTGTATCTGGCCACTGACTTGAAATATCCTATCACAGTGGCCCTTTGCAGTCTGGATACCCATGTAGAGTGGCTATCTGACATGCTGTTGTAGGAATGAGGAGTGAAAAAGGCAATGTGTTGATTCTACAGTGTTTGATCTCTGTCACATATCCCGTGGTTGCACACTGTCCATATCCTCTAGTATGTCTAGAACACACAAAGACTTTTCTGACTCTTCAGAGAGAGCTTCACATCTTACCTGAGCACCTGGTCCAGGTGGCCTTCCAGGAAGAAGAGAGAGTCCACATAAACCTCCTGCAGACAGTGAAGCTTCATAAGCTGAGAAGTGATTTGGGAGATCATCTGTTCTGTCTTCTCTGGGGAAATGATGTCAGGCATAGAGATGTCAGAGAGCATTAGTGTGTGGAGATTTTGCATCTGGCCTAGGTAAGGGGCAAAATGAGCCAGGGTGGAGAGTTCCCACCGACCCACATCCACATGCTGCACCGAATCAAGGTTGAGGCTGTCCAAGACCTGAGTGATCTTTTGAAAGCACCTGCTTGTGATCCTCAGGCTTGTACATTCCAGCTGCACCAGACCTTCTCTCTTCTGGACCCACTGGAGGAGGAAGATTAGGAATGGATCCATGCCAAACTCACTGAGCCACAGATCTAACATCACTTTGAGAGGCTGCTTTTTTGCTACTCTTGGCAGAGTCTTCTCTGTTTTTGTCTTCCTCCTGACTTCTGAGGAGCACGCTTCTAACTGGTTTTCAGCCCAGACTTTCCAGAAGTCCTGGTGCACGTCCCGCATATCCAGCACTTGCAATTTCAGCCTGCTGTGGGGGAACCAGGAAGGAATCTGAGAATTTGGACTGGACCCATTTCCTCTTGTGATTTAATCATCTCTGAGGTCACTTCCTGTTTTCTCTGTTCTGCAGTTTTCTGGTTCCCCTTTTCCCATCCCTACTCTTGGTGTCTGTGGAAGGAGCCAGGAACTTCTTGCTCCTTTCACTGCTGCATCTAGCATTAGCTGTCCTGCCCTTCTGGCAGCTCATGCCCAGCTGACTCAACAATGCCCAAGGCTTCTCTGATCCTCTGTCACATTCAGAAGCCTCTGCTTCACCCTTAATTCTCTAGTCTCCCTGGCACTTTCAGCCCCTGACTCAAATCCCATGGCCCTCCCTGCAGGACACTTTGATTACACTCACCTGGAACCAAGCTTCTGGCTCAGCAACATATCGAGCCCACCCAGAATAGCTTGTAACATCCTTTTCTGCACCTGGTCAACATCCACCTGATTGTTTAACTTCCTTGATTTCCAGATGCTTATCAGGGCTCCCAGGGGCAGGTAGGGAAAGGGCCAGGACAGCACCATGGCCTTGAGGAGTTCAGCATGTCCCCTGGTGAAGGCCTCCATGAACACTGATGGGAAGAGCTCCCCTGGCAAATCCTCCATGGCCCATATGGCCAAGGCCTTGTCTGTCAGCAGACTCTGAATCGCAAGTTTCTGTAGCCTGTATGGGACCTGGGTGCTCATCCTGTTGAATATGGTGTGCCAGAGGTGCTGTGGAAACACTGTGGAAAGAGACATCCTTTCAGGCCAGGCTGAGACACCTATTCATACCCATCGAGAAACCAATGTGCTGCCAAAAAGTCCCTGATCTGACAAGGGTAGCAGAGACCTCAGATTGTCCAAATCGGCTTGTGCTCATGGTCCCAAAATACTGCTGCTGCCTCTAAGGGACCAGGAAGACTGCTAGTGCCCAGATGAAGCAAGGTGAGAGCAACAGACTCTTCTCCAACTGAGCACCCTGACCTCTGAACCCACTGAGAAATGGGAGCCATGAAATTGGAAACTGACTCCCATGTGTTGGGGAAAAATATTCTCCTGTTCACTCCAAGGAAATGTACCCAAGAAAATAGAAAAGTCATATGGCCCTAATTTATCACTTCTCAAAGGTTCCTGTTGAAACAGATACACAGACTATGAAATGTATGTCATGAGTTTTCATTTCAATAATAATATAATAGCCCACAGCTGGCAGGATCAGGGACAGATCTGATATGTCCACCTCCCCTTCTTGTTAACTGGGTCATCTGTTACTTGGCAGTGGAAACAGAGACTCAATGGATAACCATTCAGCAGCGTCAGCAGCTGGCTTGGGAATTTCTTAGGTGAAAAACCTCTGGTTGGATAAAAATTCAGTGTACCTCGATGACACTCTGGTTCACAGTTATTTGTGATAACAGTGAAAAATTAATCATAGAAACCCCTCAATTTCATGGAAACTCCAAATATCCTCTGCAATGCTTTGTGGTATGAGATCTATAAATAGCCAAACAAAGATCATTGTGCAGTGCTCCATGCTGCTGAGTGGCTGTTGCACTGTAACCATCTCTGGCAGATGCACCAGGATTCCTGCAACATAACAGGTTGTTATAAGGCATGTAGCTATACCACATGTTCTCAGTTTTCATTCTCTCAAAACCCAAAGATCCCTAAGATGCCTTCAAAGCACCTTTCTCCAGCCAGGTGTGGTGGTGCCCGACTATAAAAGCAACACTCAAGAGCCTGAACCATAAAAATCTTTGCAAGCTTGAGCCTAGTTTGGGCTATAAAGTGAGCTCAAGATCAGCCTCAACAGCAAAAGTGAGACCATGTCTCTAAAAGTAAAGGAAAAAAAAAGAACAAAACAATAACCATACCCTTCACCTTCTAAGGTTTTATTAACAATATTTGTAAATTAAACTACACAACTGTGGGGTAAATAGCATATTTGGGGCCTAAACCACAAAGGCAAGCACTTAAAGGCTTTTTTCTGACCATATGTAAAATTGATGGTTTTTCACAATTCCAAAAGCTCTAGGCACATAAACTTCAAGTTGAGATTACTCTGTACTTGAATCAGAAGTTAGAGGAGCTGAAGAACAGAAAGGTGAAAGAAGTGTTTTAGTGGGGCAACCAGAGACTACTCTCCTTGAAAAGAGGAGCCACTATCTCCATTGCGGATAAACTTGTCCCTGTCTCCCTGTATTGATATACACAGAGCTGGCTAGGCCATTTCCTTGTCCCTTTAATTGACTTTAAGCCATGTAAATTGGGCTGGCTGAACTGGTGATGTATAATATCTAAAGCAAAGGGACAGTTCATTGTTACCCCACCCAGTGACTTCCCAAATCTGTGACTGATCTCGGTGGGATGGAGAGCTGTGCTACATGCTGTGGGCTGGGAGCAAACCTTGAGAAAGAAGCTGTGACTTCCCAGAGCAAACAGGATTGTAAATCAGAACTGAGGCACCAACCCCAAATTGTTAGACACTGCCTCAGCTGTGTTATGCAGATTGCTTTCTCTGCATTTCTTGCCCTCTGCTCATGGCAGAGGTGATGTCAGGTCTCCTCCCTAGCCCAGCTTAGGGCAGCCATGCATTTCCTACCACTCTCACTGTCATTCATCCCTGAACCACTCCCTTCAGGGGGAATTGATAAGACCTGGAAAGGGCTCTGGGTGGAGGCCTTGTGCTGGGGAACCACCACCTTGGCTGAGCTTAGGACCCCTTGGCTCCATATAACTATACATATGTCCCATTCTTCTTGCCATGGGGTACATGAGAAGTGGTAAACCGTAATTAACTCACTAGAATTGCAATAACTGCTCCTTAAGATTACAATTATAAACCTTCTTAGACAACAAGAGGACAGAAAAGTTTTCTCTATATTTTAGAAAGCGGGAGAGCATATGGATGAGCTTATCAGAACAGGAAAAATCTAGAGAGCCCAGTGAAGAGAAGGATGTTAGTTTGGATTGTGAAAATTTGTGTAAAAGGCATTACCAGCATTCTGTTGTCCACCACTGTCTCTTGTGTGGCTTTGGTCAAATGGTCAACCTCAGATTTCCTCACCTGTGAATGGGCTCACAAGTATACCTATTCCTATCCCCTCTTTCTTGCCTTATTGGGACACAGCTTTATTATATAGTTTATTTTGGCATTGAACTCACTTTGTAGCCCATTGTTTCTACTGTCCTCCTGCCCCAGCCTCCTGAATGCTGGGATTTTAGATGTGTACCACCACACCTGGTTTCCTCATTCATTCCGTGAGGGATGTACTGTGATTTCCAGCTTGAACGAGGATTTGGGGTGAAGGATAGCAGGGAATCTGCACAGAGTCCTAAGCCTCTATGCTTCCGCAATGTTTCTTACTCTCTGCCCACTTTCCATTCTCTCCAGTGAACCTGGGGAAGGTTTGCATGCCCTGTTATTACCCACCCCATTCCTAGTCCCAACATAGGCCTGTCCTGCTCATGCATGAAGCAGAATTAAATGAACACTGCTGTGACACTTAGCTTTCTACATCACACTCTGCTATACCCCAGTTTTCACACACACTTTCCCAGGGGCTTCATTGTCACTCACGCACTGTGCAAGGAGAACTCTGTGGTTTTTGTCTTTATAGATGCAGGTGGAAATGGAAGAGTGGAGGAGCAAAGGCTGAGGATAGAACACGCAAAAGGGGAGGAGGGGATGGACTCGAGAAGGAATGAGGCTCCCAGGGAGCTGGAGGCTGGGGACAATTGGAGAGGGATGGACCATAAGGACGATCTCCCCTCTCCCCCTTCTCTCTTGGTGCTGTCCTCTGGGAGCTGTGCGGGCAGATGCCTTAACCTCCCTCAGTTCCCTCACCTGCAAGGAGAGGATGAGTTAGCACCTTGCTCAGCAGGTCAGGATTGACTCTGGCAAACTCTGGTGTTGCCCCTTGGGATTGCTGATGTCAGCCAGGTGTGGTCGCCACAGCTGTAAACCCAAGCAGTCTAGAGGTGTAAATGGAGGGTCCCTGGGAATTCAAGGCCAACCCTGGTCACAAAGTGAGTTGAAGGCTAACTCAGCCTAAACTACAAACAAAAAGCAAACCAAAACATGCCTTGCTCTGAGTACACGTTACATGTTTGACCCAAAACCTCAATAGAGCCCTGAAATCCATGCTGCTGTTATGAGCCTACTTGTTATATATCTGATCCCTTCTTTATAATCTCTCAGAGCTACAATAGATAAAGCCATAATCTGCTTACTACAAACTTCCAAGTCAACAGAAATGTAGTTCCCTTTCTCCCTTCGTCCCTGGTCAAAGCCATTTCATGCACCACTAAAATATTTCTGGTGAGCACTGGTGAAATTCATGTATCAATAGTATTGAGCATTTTAAAATTAGGATGGAGCTGAGTGTGGTGTTGCATGCCTGTAGGCCCAACAGTTGGGAGACAGAGGCAGGAAGATTGTTAGAGTTCCAGACCAGCCTGGGATGTAATATGAGTTGAAGGCCAGCCAGAACTGCATAAGGAGACCCTGTCTCAATAAGACATTAAATAAAGGAATGAAAATAAAGTCACCATGGAAAATACTGAGATGTAGATTCCCACACATTCTCACATGTGTGAAATTTACCACTTAAGATGAAGATAGGCATGAGATTGATCCACGTGTTTTTCTTTTACTTTTTTTTTGGTGGGGGGGGGGAGAAAGAGTCATGGTCTATTGTTCAGGCTGGCCTTGAACTTCTGGAGATTTTCCTTCCTCAGCCTTCCAAGTGTTAGGATTATTGGTGTGCCCCACTACACCAAGCTAATCCACTTCAAGTATTACATAATGCTTTTTTGTGATTTATCCATTCATACCTCCCCAAGGTTTGTAATCAATAATTATAGTGAACAGGAAGAAATTATTTAAAAATCTATCAGCCGGGATTTGTGGTGTATGGATATTATTCCATCATCTATTCGACTGAGTTTGGATGATCACAAGTTCCAGTCCGGCACAAGGATCTTGGTGACTTTGTGAGAGGTAAAAATATTTATTGGAATGTAATGAGATTTTTTTTCCAGCTAAGACAACATGGTGATCAGTGAGAATCTTCTCATGACACCCTCAAAAATTACCACCTAGAGATGCCATAATATTTGTTCTTAGCTAAGACAAAATGGCAACTTAGTACCTTCCCAAAATGGAAACCAAACAAACAAACAAAAACCCAATAAATGGAAAAGAAAAACAACTCCAGAGTTGTCACACATCATGTAATCCCAGCACTCCAGTGGTGAGGCAGGAGGGTAACAAGTTTGAATTCATCTTGGGCCACATGAAATTTGCGTGTCAATTTGCTTCAAAATGAAACATAGCAAAGAAGTTGAGATTAAGTTAGCACAAAGGCCTTGTGTTCAAATCCCAGTAACACAAAACAGTAGTAAAAATTAATGCATGTAAAAGTAGGTACTGGTCGGCAGGTATGGGGGGTGGGGCATGCCTGAAATCCCAGCACTTGGGAGGCTGAGGCAGGCATTGCTGGGTGTTTGAGGCCACCATGCCCGAGAGTGTTTTCAAGGGCTTCTCTTAACACCCAAAGAAAAAAAGACATAGACTTTATATCAAAAATCAAACTTATTTTAGCTGAATGCAAATCTGCATTTTAAGATAAATCTAATCTCACATCCATTCATGTGGGTCTATAGAAAAAGGAATACTGATGACATCTTGCACTGCAGATCAC